AAACAACACCTGAAACTTTTTGAGGACGGCGATCACGCCATCCCGGATATCAGCCTCCAGATCTACCCCGATAGCCACCTTACGGTTCGGGGGGAAATCGAGGTCGATTTGCTCAAGAAGGGTGGCGGGCTCTGGGTGTGCCTCGAACTCCGTTCGGTGTGTTTCCATCTCAATTGTATTAACCCGCATCCCACGAGTGTTCATCTGTTTTAGGGCCTCCCGATAACATGTCCGGGCTGTCATTGGATCAGTTCTGGCCACCCCTACCCCAGTGTCTGTAGGGAATTTGATGCATGAGTGGCAGACAGAGGCTATTGCCTCCAGATCTTCCAATCCCGGTCGGCCCAATATGGCATTGTGGGCACACTTTATATCTACCACCACGAACGTCATTCGGAGTGACGCTTTGTGGGTTTCATCCCCAATTTCAACCATTAATAGGATGGTCCCCTCCGCCTCGATGAAGTTACCAGTGAAACTTGCCAGTGGGGTCCGTAGGTGGGTCAGTTGGCTCCTTTGTAGACCCATTTTCTCGAATGATTGTAGATACAATACATTCACACTGCTCCCGGTATCGACCAGTACTCGGCGGATCAAAGCATTGTCAATACACATGCTTACCACCAGTTCATCCCTGTGTGGGCTTGGAGAGTTGGGTAAATTAGCTGGCTCGAACGTGATCGGGTCTGTCCTTCCTTTCTTCTGGGGGGGAGTGGAGACGGATCCCACATAAAGACTTCGCTCGAACCTTTTCCGTTCGGCGTTCGAATCTCCGGTCTCCCCGCCCCCAAATATAACCTTGACCTCCATTCGAGGCTTCTTTCCAGGGCCTCCCGAGCCCTCTGGCTCATCCCTGGGAGGAACATACACATCATTTTGAGGCTGGGCGTCACGTTGAGCATCCCGGCGCCAGCTATTAGGTTTCCTGGCCGGTTTCAACGTGCCCATAGCATTCGGATCTTTATTCACATATTTGCCCAGATGGCCCCTTCGGATCAGATCCTCAATGGCTATTTGTAGGGCCCTGCAGGCATTGGTGGCATGACCCTTTCTGTTGTGATATTTACAGAAAGCATTGTCATCCGCTCCCATGAACTGTCCAGAATCAGTCGGGATGGGAATATTGTCCCTCTCGTGCTGATAGATGGTCGCTATTGATAGGACCAGGGGTGTAAATCTCCCTTGTTTGGGAGGTAAAGCGGCCGCTGGGCTAGGACCCAGTCGATCGGCCATTCTGATCGGGGCAGCAGGCGTAGTGACCTTATCCCTGATCATTATCTCCTCTTCTAGGGCGGCATGCTTGCGAGCCCTATCTAATACCTCGGCGTACACCGTACCCGGATTTTTCTTCAACTCTTTGTACAACTCCCCCGTTCGGAGAGCATTTATGAATAGGGTAATGGCGGTATCATCCGTCATGTTTCCCACCGTTAAAGTTTCATCCCTCCACCTTTTCAGGAATTGATTGAGGGTCTCTTTGGCGTTTTGCTTCACGCTGGTCAAATAGCTGAAGTGCCATTTGGGATTGGCGCTGGAAGCAAACTGAGCCAAGAATAACGCTGATAACTCGGCAAAGCTGTTGATTGTCCCGGGCTGCAGTGTCCCGAACCACTCCTGGGCAGGCCCCTGAGCGTGCTGAAAAACAACCGGCAAATGGCGGCCTCGGGTGCTCCTAGCAGCATAAGCCCCCCTTGGTAACTCCTCAGATGTACGTGGGGATCTCCCACCCCATCATAAATTTGGCCGGTCGGGGGCTTGGCACCCCCTTGGATATCTGCGTACATGAGTTCCCTAGTAAACGGGGAAGTAATTCCCAGCTGAACTGGGGCAGGTTGTACAGGTACCCTGTTCATCTGGTCCCGCATTTCATTCATTTGCCTCCTCATCTCGGCCATTTCTTCCTCCTGGGCCGTCAAAGGGGGCGGTGGTGGAGCCCTCATATCCGTACAGTCCCGGTCCCAATGCCGCTGAGGGGCCCTAGTATTTTCCCGCTCGGCATACTGGAAATGATGACCAATGGGAGTTGGTCCTCTAGCTTGTGATCCGACCGGGGTTCGGTCATTGGGACTGTGGTGCGCTGTTGGTGGGGCGCTACGTCGATTATCCCGATGGACATGTGAACGGGATGACGCCGCGGTTGTTTCCGTGCGTGGGGTCTCCCCTGTAAAGCTGGAACCTCCTTCCTCTTCATTCGCCATATGCTGCATGACCTGGGCCATGTCACGCATGGCCTGAGGATTTCTTCTCAGAGATTCAGGAATCACAAAATCCCCATCGAAACGAGGATACGATCCTCGACTGGATTGTCCCTGAGGGTTTTGACTCCCCGGGGTGTGACTCCTCCCGTGACGGCGTGAACCGTCGCTCGTATGATAGGAACTGATTCTGACCATTTTTGAAAAATAGAGGTTTTTTGGATGATTAGAAAGTGAAACTTTTTGCAAGTTTCCCACAGACGGCGCCAATGTTGAGGGTAAATCCCGTAGATCCGAAAGCCCAACACGAACTTTGGATATATCAGGAATGGCCTAGAATCAAAGCGTGTAAAAAATATAAGATCTGGACTAACTAATACTCGAAAGCTCACTTGTATTAATTAACCAATCTGATTACAAGGAATTTGCCGATCGGTATGTCGGAAACTATGCTTTAATACAAGAAATAAGAGCAATGATGCTATTCTAGAGCCTGAGTATTGAAATGCTAACCCTTACAATGACTTGAAACCTTCTATTTATACTAATGGAGAGCATGGGCTGCCCCATGCTGATTGGCCGTTGTTCCACCGACTTGGTCATCCATGCTTCCACTTGCTGATGTCACAGTCTGGCATTAATTGCACCTGGCCACTTGCTGATTGGCCGTTGCTCGAACGAGATATCGGGCTGTACTGAAGATACTGTCAAATTGGCCCAAGTATGATATATAGTCCGAACTCCGTTCGGTATGTCTTCTGACTGGGCCAACCTTTGTTTGGGCCGAACTCCGTTCGGTATGTCTTCTTACTGGATCTATTCATCATAGAGTGATGGACCCGTTACTTGGGCCGGATATCTTGGGCCTTCCCGATCTGGGTATTGGGCCTCTAGGTCAATATCCCAACAGAAGCTAAATAGAAGGAAAAGTAAAAGCCCTCACTAATCGATATCAAGACCTAGCTAATTTTGGCATATAGCTAGAATGTTTAAAGTGCGTGCAACGGTGCAAGGGTACGTTTCTAAATGACTCCTCTTTACCCTATATCTTGCTTTTCAACCAAATAATTCTAATTTATACCCTATTAGGGTTAATCATTGAGACATACAATAATTATTAAAGATATAAACAAAAAGTGCATATTTCACTTAAATTTTACGTATAGTAGTAATATTTTATTTTTTTGTTAAGCTTTGCACAAAGTTTTTGAAATTAATCTACTACTTAATATAATTACTACCATTTTTATTTTAATATATATATACAAGTTGGCACGCACAACACATATATTAATTTATTTTTAAATCCTTAAAATATATAAATTTAAAAGACCGTAGTGAAAAGGTATACAAAGCTGTTTTTTGAAAACAAATAACTTAATTATTATTGATGAAGATGACAAGAAACATTACAATCATAAAACTCAAGGTTACAATGAGATGAGACATAGAAACGGACGATTCTAATTGAAAACGCCGAATCACTAATCCCACAAAGAAGTAGACTCTACCTGCAGATTGACTGCTCCTGCTACGATCACAATTATCAAAGAACTTTTAAACATCCCGATTTCTCCAGCCACCGGTAAAGAGCCAACTGTATAATTTGTTTCGGTTTCACCAGCCATCGAAAAGAAAGCAATCCAAATGATCTCATCTTCCTAGAACGGCGGTGGTTCAGGAGGGGGGCAATCCGTCTCAATATCAGCACAGAAGAAAATCATGTTTTTGATTGATGAAGAGATCAGTGCAAATCTCTTCTTAGCACACAAGGACGCCCGACCGAAAGTGGCGGGGAATATGGATCTGACAGATGATATCTCACTACCGAAAATAATATCTCCAAATAACGTTGGGAAACAAACAAATGAATAAAACTGAAAACACCGATTCAGAAGATTTTTTTTTCTATCAAAGAAGATTGAAAGAAGAGAAGAAAAGAAGAGAGAAAAAAGGAGGCGGCGGGTAGGGTTTCCCGTGCCAAATACTAAAAATTATACTAAAAATTATTCAAAACTTCTTCATCAAACAATCAAATGACAAATCGTTTACCAAATACTAAAAATTATTGTTTAACAACATGATTAATAATTAAAGGTCAACCCAAAATCTAAAAAGAGATGTGCTACTTACAAAACAACCTCAAACACTTTTGATATTATCCATCTTTAAAATTTTTCAATTTTAATGCAATCAAATTTGTGAAAATGACACTAATTAATATTCATCTTCGAGTTTTGACACAACAATAAGGATGTTTTTAATCAAACTGGTTTTAATCTCAGACTGAATCTGATAAGTTTATATCGGACTTCGATAGTTGTAGAATACACATAGAATAGACACATGTCAAATTAGACCAGACCAACTTAAACCAGACCGAAGAACTTCTATTCAATTAAAAACATCCTAAGTGGGAGGATCGTTAACACATGGAAAAATTACATAAATATGTGTAAACATATTCTGAATTTCCAAAATAAGAGTTCACTAATTACTGAGTTTCCAAAACATGAAATTAATTACTCTTATTTAAGCTATAAAAAAATAATTCCTATTTTGAAATTCACAAAAGTTTTCTCTAGTATATTCAAATTTTGTGAAGATTAATAATAATCATGTATAAGATCAAAATAAAAAACATTTTAAATAAATATTTAGAACCTATGTAATAATAGTGGGATACAGAAATGAAATGGAAAGTTTTAAATTTCAGCACTAAGAATATTCTAGTTATTATTATTATTACTATAATTAGTTAGATGATTAGAAGGAAGAAACTCTTTAATTTATTAAAGGTATGGACTTATTCGGTAGCACCTACTGGATAATCAAGTTTTTAACACGAAGTAAACGAGCCCATATATGAGGGCGGCGTACTAACTGCAACAGCGTCAAAACATTCATCCATACCCGTATCTTCGGAAGGTGAACTTATAAATAATCTCTCTTTTCTTCTCCACTTTCATCTTCTACCAATCCAACGGTGAAACCTGTAAGATTCACAAACCCTGCTTTCTTCTTCGTCCTCCATATAAATCGTCATTGTTTCATTTCAAATTCAACATTTAATTTGTTCTGCTTTCCACAACTTTTGAATTCTTAATCGTTTGGACTGGATTTAATATTCGATTTGTCGAGTACTTCACTTTCGCTTCGCATCATCAAGGCAGGTTTACTGTTTAATAAAGTATTAAATCTGGATGAGTTTTCTTGCTTCATTGAATCATAACAGCGCAATTTACACTTTTTTTATTGCTTGTGGACGCTTGATCATAGCAGATCAGTGTGATAATCAATTAAACAAGTTTTGAATGGATGAAGATGTCTTGTTGAATTACAATGTTGTGTGAATTTTATGATCTTACTTGTAAGTGCATGTCAGGTACTCAGGTTTTCTTGTTTGAGTGGAGGATGCTATTTATGTTTTAAAAGTTCACCGAAGAATTTGGTTTCAGCCTAGTGTGCGACCTTTAGGGTAGGAAGCTTTTTATCACAATGGGAACCCCTTACCGCAGGTTAGCCAAATATACTACATAGTATTTATCTTGAAATACTTTGGCAGAATCAACTTTAATTTCTTTCCTTAGATCCCATATCAGACAATTATTCATTGAAGTTGTTATCTCCCTCAGTCTTACCTATCAGCCTCTTGTTTTTTATTCCTTTCAATTGCAGTGTTGGCTTTAGGAAATCGAATGACAGTGCCAGACTTGTTATTACTACAGTTATGGGCATGGTGTTTGGATATTTTATAGGCATTTCCTTTCCATTACTTTCTTTAGCCAAGGTATGTTACCGAGTTCGTGGATATGCATGTGCTGAATCATGAAGTAATATATACTTGCCATCCACTTCATGCCTAATGATATTGTGCAGATTAACTTACCTTCAAGCCTTATATCATCTCTTGATGTAGCCTTTGGTGAGGACCATCAGAGATTTACTGAGCGTAGTTTTCCTGAAAATCTTGGTTCGGGTAGCACTCCATTATCACCTAAGGTATTTCATTGTCAATTTGTTCCAAGACACTTTCCATTTCAGCACTCATCCTCTCCTACCCTTGGGTTATTTGTGTACTTTTGACGAGTATTGTATCCAATATCTTGTGCTGTTTCTCATGTATTGTTTATTAGATTTTTTAAGTATAAATCCAGGAGATTAGAACGAGTTGATTAGCAGTTTTGCTGGAAATCCCCTGTTAAGTTTTAATTCTATCCAAGTTATGAGTCCGATTTCATTTTCTTATTTGTCATTAGCATGCTCATAATGTTTGGTACCAACGAAAGTGAAAACTGTGTATATTTGACATGTTTTTTCTCCTTTTTTGGCATTATGATATTTTAGATATACATAGATACCCGCTTAAAAATTGAAAGAAGTTAGCTAATCTGTTTCTCATTTACATCTGCAACTTCAGTTAACCTGTATGAATTCATACATATCTCTCTCTTTCTCTTTGCATATATGGAACAACTGTGAGAAATGGTTTTTATGCAAGGTTGAGAACTAGAGCTGTATGAATGTATCATTCAGAGAATAATCATGTTTCATTCGTATTGCTATTAACTTTCAGATCTATGTTCCTTCCAACCCTCGGGGTGCAGAGTCATTGCCACCAGGAATTGTAGTTTCAGAATCTGATTTTTATCTACGTAGATTATGGGGTGAACCACGCGAGGTAAACTAATGATGATATGACTCCTTTTTTTTTCAAATCTGCCACTTTGGTGTACTTAATGCTTTCGTGCTTGTATACTTTTATTGGCTCTGATATGGGGTTATTGTAGTATCTTGTTTTTAATATTTCCATTTTTCATTGGTATAATTTGTTTCATTCTTTTTCTTTGTGCCATAGCTGGAAAAGTTTTTTATAGACACAACTTTCTTTGGAACTTAAACAAAATTGTTTGTGACTACTGTCCTTTCAACATGACTAGGTTACACCATTTACCTTATTGTTCTCTGCATTGTGAAAGTTTTCTGGTAATTAAGTATCCATATAGCTCTATAAGTTCCAAGTATGCTAAAGGTTCACAAATATGTAATGGCAAACAAGTACTTCTATTAGTAGTCATTCCCCATTCGATCATTTTTATATACTACTCCTATGCATGATCTTAGTGCAGTTTTGTTTAACACTTTCTTAGAAAATTATAATTGTTGTAATTTTCAGGACCTGAAAACGAAGCCGAAGTACCTTGTAACGTTCACAGTTGGTTTGGATCAAAAGAATAATATCAATGCAGCTGTTAAAAAGGTTATATAAATGAAGGAGTTTTATGAATATAGAAATAGCAAAGCTGCTTATATATACTCCCTCCATCCGTCAAAACTTTCCCAAGTTTGATTGGCACGAGAAATATTTAAGTAAAAACTGTGTGGTTGAGGTTTAAGTAGAAGAGCAAGAAATTATAGGAACCACACATTCATTGATTAAAAGGGACCTTGGCAAAGTTTTTTTGGACAACCAAAAAAAGTAAGATGGCAATGTTATAAGGGACTGAGGGAGTATATGTATATGCACACACATGCATGCGTGTTATCAGATTAACGGACTCTATTTACTGATTTTTACAATGTAATGCCATTTTTAGTTTTCAGAAGATTTTCAAATTATGCTTTTCCATTATGATGGCCGGACAACTGAATGGGATCAATTTGAGTGGTCAAAGCGTGCAATTCATGTCAGTGTTAGAAAGCAGACAAAATGGTAAGGAATAGGATTTTATATTACGTAGAATAATTCTAGATGTGTTGTGCCTGAATCTGCAAAATAGGCATGTGACGAAGGTAATCTGTGGAATATGTGTGGAAGAGTATGTAAATGACAAGAGAAACAAACAATTTTGGAAGCCATTTCTTGGTTAGCTGAACTGTATGATGTGTATAAACCTTTCTCCCTTGGGATTGCAAAATCACAATTCTCACGCACTCTCCCTCTCTACCTCACTCCCCCATCCCATCTCTTTCAATGGAATGCTGTGTTATCAAATCAGCAAATGCACGCCTGCGTGGCAAGACGCTACTCGGACTATGTTATTAAATTAGCGATTACCTAGACCATACTGACTACTCCCCCTTGTCGATAGGATTTCACAAAACTGAGTTACTTGCTTGTGTACTTCACAATTATCTTGACTCAGTGGCTCACTTTAATTTTGTGAAATGTTTTGCTTTAGCCTCACGATACATAAATCTCCAAATATAATACTTCAAAAGGTAATACAATTTTATTCAAGTATGTCCGACGCAAATAAAGTTCTTAAATAAATATGAGTTAGTAGGTCATAATAACAACTTTAATTGCATGATAAGATCCAATTTTTATGTCAATTCTTCTCCACATCAGCACAGATGAACAAAAAGTTGAGTAGAGAATAAAGTTGGTTGCTACATTTAAAATCTATATTTTGAGAAGAAAAGAAACCAACCAGTTAGAAATGATCATAGAATACTATGGAGTAGAGAACAAAAAAGAAAGCAGTTTAGTAGAGGATCTTCTGAAGTTCTAGGGTTTGTGTTCTGTAGCTTTTCTATAAAAAATACCTCCTTCCCAAAATAATTAGCCAAATCCAAGACTTTAACCAATAATATATATTTATTGGAAATTATTTATAATTTAAAAATGATATGAAAATGTTCTTTGTTAAAAGTACTTTCATAAAAGTATAAAATTTATAACTTTCCTAATATTATACTAGTACTAATAAAAATCATGGTCCAAATTTTATGATTTGTCTAAACATTTTGGGACGGAGGTAGTATAACTAAAACCATTCGAGTTCTTTTAGTGATTTAGATGTCATATTGAGCTACAATATGTTAAAAAAAGCCAACCTTTTTCTGCAATTAGTTCATCATTGCATAATGTTAGAGACATAATCTTCTTTGTGATTGACTGACTGGGATAAGTAAAAGGCTGGATGCAACTTTTTATGACCTCGCCTCATGTCGTAAGCTTCAAAAGATTTTTAAACAATGAGCAACTCGGTTGGTGTTAAAATGTAAAACGCTCAAAACTAAAATTCAAGAAAGCAATTAGGAAAAAGGTTAGGGGGGATGAAGATTTTTCCATTCTTGAACCAAAAGATGATTGGAATTATAAATTTAGGATTCAATAACTGAGGATTGGACGTAGCCTGAACAAGTGCTGTTAGACATTTAGTTATTTTTTAAATTTACTTTCATGAGATGGTTATGAAGAAAGTGAACATAAAAATCTGATGTAGAAATACGTTATTTGACTGAAGATATAATTATTCTCTAATCTAAGTAACAAATATAAGTCAAACAGTAAAAAAAAAATCTCTCTAAAATCCCCAACCAAACAAGCACCCTAGGCTTTTACTTGGATGGGATCTTCTTTAAATGTTCAGTAAATTATGTTAGTGTATATATTTTTAATGTGACTATTATACATGACAGAGTAATCGGTCCTAATCATTCTCGATTGGCCTCTGGGTAACCACTGAGTGAGTAACACAATGCGATTAGGCATATTCATTCAAACGTGCGCCATTATACTTTGCAGTCTTTAATTCACTAGTAATGATCAGCAATAACTAATTAAAATTATTCTAAATAAATTCATATTACAAGCGATATCTTGTATACTATGGACTAGACTACCACATACGTGATAGCTCCTGATGCAGATATAATGCTAACCTAAGGTTATTGGGCCTTACCTCAACTCCTGTCTTTCTGCAGCTTCATGATATTCACACTTTTTGTATTTCACTACTATTTCCCTGTTAAATATGGACAATGTTGTATACAAGTACTTTCATGATCTTCACACTCTTACTGTTTCATGATCTTCACACTCTTACTGTTTCATGATCTTCACACACTTCGTGTTATCATCTATAATCTTCACACATTTCATGCTTCCTTATTTTTCTACACGTTTCATGTTTCCCCAAATATTCTCGGTACAGATAATCTTTCCTACATAATATTCATACTTCATGCTTTTCCATTATTAGGTGGTATGCAAAGCGGTTTTTGCATCCTGATGTTGTAGCTGCTTATGATTACATATTTATTTGGGACGAAGATCTTGGAGTAGAACACTTTAATGCACAAAAGTATGTTTCAATGATTGGTTTTTGGTTTTCTCTTTACTTGTTTTTGTTTCCTATAATTTCTTACCAACATTTGCTCCCCTGAAATTCCAGGTATATTCAACTTGTGAAGAAACACGGTCTGGAGATATCTCAGCCTGGATTAGAGCCAAACAATGGATTGACATGGCAGATGACAAAAAGGAGAGGAGACAAAGAAGTCCACAAGTACATCTTTTGTGTTCAACCTCCCTCTAAATGTTTTTTAAGATGGCTGTTTTTTGTTCCATTTCGTCAAACTATTTTCCGGGATGGATGAACAGGGATACAGATGAGAAACCAGGATGGTGCAGTGATCCACATTTGCCTCCCTGTGCAGCGTATTCTTTCTTTTCCCTCATAAGATACTTTTTAGAACTTTTTGTTATCATTTTTAGTTGCATCTGATCTCTCTCTCTCTCTCTCTTCAGTTTTGTAGAAATTATGGCTCCTGTGTTCTCTCGAGAAGCATGGCGGTGTGTTTGGCATATGATTCAGGTATTTCATAATGTTTGAGATTCTCAGGTTGCCTTGTGTACCCATGGCGCTATCAGCTTACTGTAAATGATTTTTGCATGATAAATTATGGTACTCTTTGCTTATCCTCTTTGTAGAATGACCTGGTGCATGGATGGGGATTAGATTTTGCTCTTAGAAGATGTGTAGAGGTTTGGATTTCTTTATTCATCCTCCATAATTGCACGAATTGGATTTTTGATTTACTTCATTTATTTGATTCGACACTTCAGACGTGTGTAATAAGAAGATACAGCAAAAATGTTGCACATGATGCATTTGAGTATTGAAATTTGAAGCACTCTTTAAAAAGTGCTTTCTAAAACTTATTATTTTGGTGATTGGTCTATGCAGCCTGCTCATGAAAAGATTGGTGTAGTTGATTCACAGTGGATTATTCATCAAGTTATCCCTTCTCTAGGGAATCAGGTTGAGTAATAATTAACTTCCACCTGCATCTTTCCTTGCATCTAATACGATCTGCAGATCTAGATTCTCATAAATAGCTTGCAGTTTCTTTGGCACCGAAAGATCCACATTCACTAATAAGAAGTTATGACAAGGTCTCTACAATTACTGGGCATTGCAAACTAGGGATAAATTCATAATTTTATTTGCATTTTCCCCCTTCGCCAGTCTTTTTAGGGCATTTCTGGGTCTCTGCAAATGTCAATGATGGAAAGAAGAAGCTATTCGAAGTCGTTTTCTTATGTTGGTTTACATTTGAAAATATTCAAAATCAAAATGAATAATGATTTTCTAATATTAAACTTTACATATATTTAGATTTCTTTATCTTTGTATAACAAAGTTAAGTAAAACGAGTTCAAATAGATATCTATAAAATATATGTAGTTTCAGTATACCTCCCCCCCCCCCAAATTTCATCACTTCCGAAATTTTCTTTCTAATTTCTTTCCCTAGTTTTTTTCTTGATTCCAAACGGACCCTTACTGTTGTATTGATGCAATATGCAGGGTCGGTCTGAAGATGGTAAAGCTCCGTGGCAAGGGGTATGTGCACAATCCTTTCTTTTCCTTCACTGGTGCCTTATTATCAACTCCTCTTTTTGTCTGCCCATGGATGTATACACACACATTATTAGATCAGGGCAATCACAGGGTTGCATGTCAAGCTCACCTAGTCACTTTGGTGTAGTTTGGTAGAATGGTAGAATGGTAGTCCATAATGACATAATTTAATAAAATAAATTTAGTGTAATTAGCAGTACATGTCTTACCGAACTATACATTAGTTTATCTGTATGTTTCACAATCGAATTTACAGTGTAAATGTTATTAGTAATTTTTAACGATAATGGTTTTGATGTTAACAATACACTTTAAATTTGCAGGTAAGAGAGAGATGCAGAGGGGAATGGGCAATGTTCCAAGATCGCCTTGCCAATGCTGACAAACAATATTTTGCACAGCTCGGAAGGAGTTGAAAGGACGTCAGTAAAAAATGCTTCTGTTTTGACTGGAATTTTGTACATGGAACTCCGATTTTCATTCTCGAGTTATACGCTCCCTCTCTCTTCTTTCTCAGCAGTAGAGAGTAGCAACCACAATATTCATCTATGTAGTCAGGGGCAGTCAAAAAATAAGTTAGGAACCGGAATATCTCTGTGCATAGTTACCCGAGATTTTTATTGAGTAATATATAGGCAACTGAAGAAGATATTTTGTTCATATGTTTTCTTGGGTATTTCGTATGGTGTGTAATTCATTCATCAATCCCCAGAAGGCCAGAACATCGTTTCAGTAAATGGTTCATCTTCAACTTTAATGAATTGATCCTGAATGAATTCTAAAGGTAGTTTTCCCCTTATGGATATCTAGTTTCAATAGATAATATGTTACATACAGTCATACAAACAAGATATGAAACATTCAAAGTTGTCATTAAGTCGTCATTAACATCGATCAGCCCATTTGAGTGACTCAATGTCTTAATTACATTAATAGCTGCAATAATACATACAAAACCGCTACCATAACTAGGCAACTAGCTAGCATTAAGCCTAATAAATGCAATGCATCATTAATTGTCCGTGAATTAAATGCTGCTATTTAAACTAGATGGAGGTAAGAGGGGCTCTCATGCCACTTGATACCCCCATGATCCAACATTAACTGCAGTTGGTTACTTGAGCAACTCTCGTTCGGGATTAAGCCCCGTTAAGCCATTAATCAGGAATAAGCTAATTACCCAAGTGTTAATTATATCCCGTTCGGGATGCGCTGGACCTTAATATCCCATCATATGTCCCCCACTTCCGATGTTCCGAGCGTGCTCGGGATATAAGGAAGTAGAAAAAGTGATTTTTCCACCGGTGTGATCCTGTTCGTGCTCCTTGCTAATGCTTGCCTGCTCACGACATGACGGTTCGAAGCTTTCTGGCGGCTGTCGCTTGTATTCCCTATTTAATTGTCAATGATTACTTGACGTTTCGCCTCCGTTCGACACGTGTCCCTTGGAGCATCCCTTGCTACATGTCCGCCTGAGATTGGTCCACGAATTGGCGCTTTTTGGTATAAGTATGACTTTGGGCCCTTGGCCCCGGGTTTCCGAATTCTGAATCTTCGTCCAAGTGCTCTGCCTTCTCCCCAAATCCCTAATTTCCCAGGCTCACTCAGGTAATCACCAACCTTCTTCTTTCTGTTCTCTCTTTCGGTTCGGCACAAATGCCTGTGAGTTTTGGTTCTTCTGACCCCTCAATTATTGAGCGGGTCGGGACTCTGAGATGAATGCCACTTTGGATGATACCGCGGGCATTAGTGCCGCTGCAGAGAATGTGGCCGAAGATGTCTCTTCTACCAGCAGTTCTGGAGACGTCCACTCCGGCGATTCTTCTAGTGAGACTTCGGGTGGTGGTTCCGACAGTGCGAAATCCAGCGATGATATAGCGGTGATGAAGAAAGGCCCTCCTGACGACACCCCTTTTCACCACCTGGACTTGAGGTCCATTAAAAACCAGAGGCAAAAACTCTCGCCCAAACTTAGAGCCCATATTCTTGCCCTAATCCCTGATCCAGTTGATTTTCACCTTCATGCTGGCCTCCATCCCCTGCGCCACCGTCCTGGAATGGTAGTGGTGCATCTTGATTCCGTCAAGGCCGGGTTAAGGTTCCCGTTGCACCCTTTCTTTGTGGCTCTCTTTAATCATTATCAAGTAGTTCCGGCTCAAATAATGCAGAATTCCTATCGGGTTATTGCCGGGTTCATCTGCCGCTGCGAGGATGTAGATGTGGAACCCGTTTTGGACATCTTCCATCATTTTTTCAAGGTTGCCCCCGAACAAATCGAGGCCCGAATGAAGAGGATTCTTTTTAAGGGGATCCTCATTTCCATTAAAGGGTGGAAAGACTAATTCTTTTTTGTCTCTGTTCCGGATGGTCTTATTCCACGGAGGTGGAACGCGTACCCGCCCAAAACCACAGAGCCCTTCCTTTCTGCGAAGCTAGAAGATAAAATCATCGCGGTGGAAAGGGCCAAGACGCTGGACATTATGGATTACTGAACCCCCGCTCGGCTTGTGGAAGCCCAGATAGGTACCGCCCGAATTTCTGGATTTCTTGACTGAAAATCAAGTGCCATGACCCGGGCGGTCCTACCGTGCGAGAAACTTACATACCATGCTTGTTTCACACATGCTAAAACCGTTCGGTACTAAATTTCCCTTTCTCTTTTCAGCTCCCAATATCGAAGTCATCATGAACAAGAATCGTCTTGAAGAAGTGGGTGCGGCTAAGAAGAAGAAGCCGACCAAGAAGAAGGCTAGGACCTCAGCCCCTGAGACCACCCAATCAGCCGCCCAACCTAAGGTTCAGCAGTCTCAGCCACTTCGACAAGTGCCTCTTGAGGAGGTAAACTTTGCTGATATGGTTGTAGATCAGCAGTTCGGGGATCTGCAATCCAACCCCCTTTTCAATGATGCCCCAGGTTCGTTTGATGCTGTCAATGTTGGGGCTGGACAGGCCTCTGTTTCTAAGCCCGTGGAGCCAATCTTGCTGGAGGACCCACTCCATGCAATCATAGAACAAGGCGGATGCCATCCTGACCGGGTTTCGAGTACCTCCGCCATGATGCAAGATTATCACCTTCCTAAGATGACAATTGAGCAGGCTAAAACAGGGGTTGCCCTTGCCACTCTCAAGGTAAATTCCCACCGTTCGTTTCTTTGTTCGCCTTTCATGCCGTTTGGTAAATAACCGTTTTGTCCTGCAGGCCGGCTATTATAGTGTTCAGCTCCAGCTTGCTCGGATGGAAAGAGAGGGGGAGATGATCAGGGCTCAGATGTCTGCAGAGTAGGCTACCGTTGAAGTGCTTCAGGCTGCTGATCAAGAGTAGAAGAAGTTCGAGGCTGAGCTTGGCCAACTTCGGGTGGGCCTTGCCACGGCTAGGTCTAAGGTTCATGCCATTGAGGCCGCTCAGGTCGTTTTTAAGGAAAGCGAACCTCAGATCTCGGACGGTTCTTGGGAAATATTTGTTGATTTGTCTGCCGTCCGGACATCAGCCCAGGATGGATTCCAGTTCTCTGAGGAGTTCACGAAAGCTGCTGAAGACCATGGACTGGCTCGGGCAGGCACCCTGTTCGGGAAGTGCTTAGAACAGCTCCCTCAAGGCCCGACCCGCCTTGAGGGGGGGGGGGGGGTGAATATGGCCGATGAGACTGCGGTTGGCAAGGAATGGGTTGAGGCTTTGGCCAAGAATACCTATGTTTCTGGCTATCAGCGGATCATGGAGGGCGTGGTGTCGATCCTGGAGCGGTTCATTGGCCGGCCGATTGAAACCAAGGATTTTTCTGAGGACAAGGTCCTCCTGAATCAACATGAGAAGTTCTGTCGCAATCAACAGCGGGAAGCCGATCGGGACGCAGGTAGGGAACCCGCGGCCCCAACCGATGATGAGGCCGATGAAGAAGAGGACGACGAGGCCGAAGAGTAGAGATGCCGGCCAATAGTTTTATTTTGATATTTTTGTGTATTCACCTATCTCCTTTTCTCTTTTGATCTCTAATGTACATTTCCGCCAGCAATGCCGAGGAGTAAAATACTTCTTTGTCTATATTTCCTTATTTTCTTGCATGATTTATTCCCTTTCTTTCCCTTTATCTTTCATTTGGTTGTTCGAACTCCCCAACGTAGCCTTTTGGACTTAGCTATTTTTCACACCAACTTCGTCCCGTTCGGGGTTCCCCAACCGCATACGATTCGAGCAAGATCCATACACCATAATTTCTCATTTGGTGATACCCCGTTGGGGAATAGCCTTAGGTTTCATCCGGTTTCCCATATTTATGGAACTCGGTCGGGATATTGATCCCTCTACTTAAGGAAACGTTTAAGGTTGGCCATATTCACCGTCAGACTGAATCCGTTCGGGGTCCCTGGCTATATCATCGAACAGAGATCCGTATAAAAATATGTTAATGAGCTTAAGAGCCCCTTGGGCTTAGTACTTTTTCCGGCATCATACAGCCGTTCGGGACATTGGGATTTGTATAGTTGCCCTTCCCATCCCTTTCTGGCCTTTACGCCATTCGGGACATTTTGCTGGCTGTTGAATTACACAGATGAATCACCCGTTCGGTCATTAGGCATGTTTCTGCGACCTCTGAGGTAGTCCATTTAGCTTTCGCCACGTGTCCCTCCTAGGTTCATTTCCAGGGCGGTGCTCCCTCTATATAAATATGGGGAAGCTGGTACCTCATCATTTTCTGCTGCTTCTTCAATTATTGCCTTATTGCCTTATTGCTAGCTTTCTCTCTCTAGAAATCCTCCAGGCTTTCCTTCTTCGAGGTATTTACAACCTCCTTTTCCCCTAATTTATGTCCAGTTACTTTTCTTCAGACGAGGAAGACATGGTTCTGATCCGTCGTTCTTCAAGGGGAAAGGCCGGCCCAAGTGGTCAGGCAGCCAATTCTCCCTCTCAGTCTTCGGAATCCCTCACCAACTCCCCTATTCTACCGGACGCCGAACAGTCCCTCCCTGATGGTGGATGCTTCGAGAGAGAGGACCTCCCAAAATATAAACGTGGAATGCCTGAGCGGCCACCACGTATTCCTTTAAACTTTTATTACATCCGGAAGCAACACCAGCATCTTCCAGCAGATGCGGGCCAGCAATTGGCCCAACTTTTACCGCCACTTAGGCAATTTTACAGCGGCTTCATTCGTCACCCGATGAGGCACCGACCGGGGCATGTGGCGGTGCATCTGGATGCCCTCGTGGCCGGTCTCCGCTTTCCTTTGCACCCGTTTGTTACAAACTTTCTACGCCGGCTCTCGATGCTCCCGGCCCAGTTCGTGCCCATCACCTACTGTCTCCTCACATGATTTGTCATTCGGTGTCATGTTTTAAGGATTCCTTCGAGCATCGATTTATTTCTATATCACTATAAACATGAGCCGTACTGGACCACTGGGTACCTGCGACTGACCGCTCGGCCCTTTCGTCACCTTTTCACAGAGATCCCCATGCCTCCTGAAAAATGGCAGGACCGTTTTTTGTTTGTCCACGTGGGTGAACCGCTTCCATTCCCTAACCTGTGGAACTCGTACCCTGTTCGGGACAAAGAACCGGTTCTGGATGCCGTTCCACAAAACCAGACTGAGTCGTTGCGTCTGGCGGGCTCCCGAAAAATACGGGCTTATGTTAGGCCCTCCAAGATGCTTGCTGCCGGCATCGGTACTTTCCGTTTTCAGTTGCCGTTCAGCGCGTTGCTTTGTGTTGTGATGGCCTTCTGACAATTTTTTGTGTGCAGGTGTGTTCCTGTCCGATATGAAACGTCAGGGTCCTTCATCTAGCATACCCCCCCCCCCCCCCCGGTCGGGAAGGGAAAAGGCAAGCTTACCCTGAATAGTGGTAAGCCTGCCCAACAACCTCAGTCACGAGGTACCAAAGAAACCACCCGG